TGTTGCGAGCAGCCCCCCCCTCCGGCGTACACGCTTTGCTCTCCTCTGCCCGCGACTCCGGAGGCTTAGCGGTTCCGTTCCCGCTGCCGGCTCAGCATGGTCAGGAGGCAGCTGCCCCTGGGACGTGGGCCGGTGTGAGGCGACCGTCCTTGCTGAGCCTTCGGGAGGAGGCCACAGATCAGACCTTCAAGAAACGAACAGTCGTTCCTTGCTGATGCCTCCAGATGGGTGTGAGGGACGGGTCTGGGCTTTAGGGTCAGCGGCTGTCCCCGGGTGACCTCAGGGGAGGTGCCCGCGTCCGTGGGGCCCCCGGCCGGTTCTGCTGTAGCTGCAGGTGCTGGCCATCAGTGAGCGTGGGGCCATGGCACCTGCGGTGTGCGCCCAGGTGCTGCACATGTCACTTGGCCTCGCTGTGTCCCCACGTGGGGCATGAGGTCCCAGGAAGGCGCCTTCCTTGGCAGCCCTGAGTGCCTCAGCAGTGGTGAGCGCAGGGCCAGCCCCTCCCCCTGGATGCAGTCGTGGTGGCTGACAGCAGGTCCAGACACAGAGCTGTGTCCGCACCCACCGGCGTGCCCAGGTGAGCCTGCTTGCCTTCCCGGGGCGGTGGAGAGATGGCTGCTGCCTCAGAGGAGCTGGGGCGGGGAGGTGCGTGCATGTCCTTAGACCTCGTGGCAGGTTGGGGGCCCTGAGAAGGTGACCTCGTCTGAGGTCCTCAGAAGGCGCATGAAGACGTCAGGGGGACACTTCCTGTGGCCTGTCCCGTTGCCAGCAGGGTTGCGGGGCAGGGTCCAGACTGTGAGGCTGTGTGTGGTGGAAGCATGGTTTCAGTGGGGAAGACAGCCAGGGGACAGGCGGTGGCAGCTCCCAGCAGCAGCAGGCCCAGCGGGATGTCTCCGCGGGACAGGGTCCCCGCAGAGGCTGCAGCGCGATGCCTGACCCTGGGTCTCCTACCTGCGGAAGGGACAGGGGCCCCAGCGGAGGCCACTGGCAGGGGTCATTCTGCCCTGAAACCCAGATCTGACCCGTGTGCCGATGCGCGGGGTCCGCGCGTAGCGGGTCCTGGACGTGAGGGGCGGTGCGTGCGGCGCCGGTGACATCGCAGCCCTCAGCTCTCCCGCGAGCCGCCATCGCCGTTCCCTCCCCGCGGGGGCGTTTCTGTGAGCCGTGCGCTCGGTGGTGGCAGAAACGTGTCCTTTCCGTGTGTGCGTGTGCGTGCGTGTGCGTGCGTGCGTGCGTGTGTTGACACCCAGGGGGCGAGCGAGGTGCGACAGCGAGGACCGCGCGGTGTGCGGAGTCCACGCCGGCCCTGCCCACAGGCGGGTTCCAGGTGCTGGCGCTGACCGCAGTCCCGCCCCGCGCGCGTGGCGTCTATAAGCAGGTGCGCCCCAAACTGGGCGCGCCCATCGACCCAGGGCGCGCGACAGGACCGCGTGGGGGTGCGGGGCGCGGCTGTGACGCGTTAAGTGGCCTGAGGCCACCGCCTGGTGGCGAGCTTCGCGCAGCGCGCGTGCGTGGGTCGTCTGGCGTCTGCGCGCTCTTCTGAAGGTGGGACCGGGGGCGCGCACGCGGGGACCCCACGCGAGCTCGGGTGAGGGGGCCGCGGGCTTCCACCGCCCCCTCCGGCCCCCCTCACCCGCCCCGCGTCCGGTGCCCCCTCCGGTCCCCCGTTGGTTGACTGGAAACGGGCGCGCGCCTGCTGAGCGACGCTGGTGGCGGTGCAGGTGGGTGGCTTTGGGGCTGGGCTGACGTGGTCCTCTGGAGCCTGACGTGGCTCGCTGTGTTCCACGTTACCAGCAGGACGTAAACGTGGGATTTCCCCCCAAACCCGCCCGCGAGTATCGGAAGCCGCGTCTCCGCGTGCACAGTCTGGGCGCGAACGTAGGCTTGGAGTTGTGTTTGTGTAACTGTCCAAGTGGGGACGTGTGTGCGCACGTGACAGCCAGCCACCTGTCCCCGCCTGTCCCCGCATGTGCCGTCGCGCGCAGTGTCAGCGGCCCTCGCCGGGTCTGGGCGTCCGCGGGAGGCGGTGGTCAGCGGGGTAGCGCGCCGCTCGCCCAGGCCCCAAGGACGAGCAGGACAGAGGTGACCTGGCATGTTGAGTGTCACGACCGAGGCCGCCTACGTGCAGCTTTCCGGGCAGCAGGGGCGTCGTCGGGGGGAGAGCGCGGTGGGGTGCTCCCAGGTACCCACCCCAGGGGGAGTGGCCGGGCAGGTAACAGTGCAGCTTTAGTTCTGACGCCCGCGGGTCTGGTAACCGCCAGGCGGAGGGGACGACCGCCCGGCCGCAGCGCCTGAGTGGACACCTGCCTGGGCGGTCACTGCTCTGTCCCTGGGGTCTCCCCACTACGCGCAGCTCTGAGCGGCTCTCTGAACGTCTGCGAGGGGAGGGGGTGGTGAAGACCGGCCTGACACTGACAGTGACTCTGTGTCTCTCTTTGCAGAGGAGGACGGCGGGGACCTGGTCCAGCCCGGCATCGGCTTCCCAGGGCCGGCGGACGAGGATCTAGGTAGGGTTCCAGTGATGCCCGGCCTGGCCATCGCACAGGCACCTGTCACCCGACCTGCTCGGCCTGGGCTGTCTGCACACCCAGGACTGGAAACCTTTCCACAAGCGTTCTAAGCGTGTGCTTGACTTCAGAGTCTCCTGACGAGACCTAAGTAAAAAGCGAAATGTTTAAAAAGTGGTAGTTTATAAACGTGCAGGAAGCACGTTCTAGTTCAGCTACAGTAAATAGTGCTGGGGCGAACACAGGGGTGCGTAGCTCTGGTTTTCTTGGGGTACATACCTGCAAGTAGAGTTGCTGGGTCATAGGCGGGGTCTATTTTTAAATTTGGGGCGCTCCATACTGGTTTCCATAATGGCTGCACCGGTTTACAGCCCCACCAGCAGCGCTGGAGCGTCCCTTTCTGCCCGTCCGCGCCCAGGCTCACTGATTTACTGATGACGGCCGTCCTGACAGGTGTGAGGCGATACCGCAGTGTGGTTTTAACTGGCCTTTCTCTGATGATTAGTGACCTCAAGCACCTTTTCATGTGTCTGTTGGCCTTCTGTACGTCCTCTTCGGAGAAATGTCTTCAGGTCCTCTGCCCATTTTTTAATTGGGTTGTTTGTGGTTTTGGTGTTAAATTCTATGAGTTCTTTATAAAATATCTATATTAATCCCTTATCCGGTGTCTCATAGGTAAATATCTTTTCCCATTCAGTAGGTTGTCTGTCCATTTTGTTGATGGTTCCCTTTGCTGTGCGATGTAGCATATTCAAAATGCCACAGTGGAGGAGGAAACCCCACTTTTTCAAGGAGAGGTCTGGGGAAGACCTCCAGACGCTGGAATGGAGTGGCTCTGCCTGCAGCGTTCTGGGAGCTGGCTCACAGGAGAAAGGGCTTTCTTCATCCTCCTGAATGTGATGCTTGAACCACTCCACAGGGCCGGAGGGTTACACACGTTTATGAGGACTGTCGACACCCACCCAGGTTCGCACTGGTCAATCAATTGCAAGTTGAAATATTTTTAAAAGGCAGATTAAATGAGCAAAGAATATTAGGCATATATTATATAAGACACAACACTGAGAAAAATGGATGCATTGTGTAATTTCAAAAATAGTAGAATAGTAAAATAATATCTACCAATATTTAGAGCCTTGTGTGGGGCAGGAACATTATCGTAAAAGTACTTTTATGTAGTAGAACGTTAGGTAGCATTGTTTTAAGTCTACACACCATTTAACTGCACACATGTCTCGTATTGATTGTGATATGTATCTTATTTTAAAAGAGCTCCATTTTAGAAATTTATATTTTGTGTGTCCTTTGATAAACACCCCTGGCCATCACGTCGACGTGTAACTCGATAGTTTTCCTTAGTTCCTTGAGGTAGTTTCTAGAAGTTTCCAGAAACAGTGGAAGCAGCTCCGTGCCATTTCTGTCTGGACAGTACCAGAGTCTTCACTCGCGGCTCGCTGAGCCCCACCCCACTCCCCACTCTCATTCTCTGATGCTCCCTCTGGGGCCCTCCTTCACCTCGGCACCCCCGCCACCCGTGCGGTTCAGGCCCCGTCGCGGAGGCCACCTTTCCCGCGTGACATCCAGAGCCGTCACCAGTTGCTGCAGGAAAGGAGGAGGCGTGGCCTCCAGGGAGGGTGACGTGCCAGTTAATGGAGGAACGGTCCAAAAGATGTATTTTATTTTGATAAAGTCATGTGAAAACTTTTTCTACAAATTAAAATTAGTTTTTTCAGTTACTCATATTTAATTTTTGTGGAAATTAGGAATTTGGGTATTGCGTGTAATTTCTGGAATGTACACCCCAGCTTTTCTCCTAAATATCAGTTCTCGACTTGCACGGTCACGGAGCCCGATTGCCGTCAGGTGAATGGGCGCACCCCGTCCCGTCCCCATCCAGTAAACTCTCCTCACTTCGTGCTCAGCCCCATGCCGCGTGCCCTTGACCTGGTCCCCAGGCCGCAGTGACACGTGCCATAGGCTGGGCGGCGCGAGAACAGGCTTGTTTCCCATGGCTCTGGCGGGCCCCTCCTCCTGGTTCGTGGTGGCGTCCCGCCGTGCCTGCCCGGAGCCGGGGGAGCGCCGGGGTCTCTGCTGTAGGGAAGCAAGACGTTTCCTGTGGCGCGTGTCCACACAGTGTGCACATGTGCAGACTTGAAGTCAACACAGGAAGTCTCCATTCCGCCTGTCAAAGCTGTTCTTCTTGAAATGACACTTTCGCTGAAGCCGGCGGCTTCTAAAATGAGTCAATGACGGGTTTTGCACGAGGCGGCGTGGCGCTGGGTGGGAATGGGCGCGGAAGGGAGCGGGGACAGACGTGTTTGCTGGTGGGAGGCGCGCTCCATTTAATCGGCCGTCCCCTAATTCAGGGAGCGATTTCATTTCGTTTCATCGTCTGATAGTTTATATTTACATGACGCTGATTTTTAAACTGTGGGTTACAACTCACGGGGCCATGAATTTGAATTACTGAGTCACCACCACCACGTTTTTAAATGAAAAGAAGTATCGGAGTGTATGAAATGTACAGATTCAAAAGTATCTAAGTACATCACACGTGAGAGTGAGTGCTGTTCAGGGAGACGTGTGTGGGGGAGGTGTGTGGGGGTGTGGTGTGCGTGCATGTGTGTGGATTTATGTGTGGTGAGCGTGCACGTGTGTGGATTTATGTGTGGTGTGCATGCATGTGTGTGGATTTATGTGTGGTGTGCATGCATGTGTGTGGATTTATGTGTGGTGAGCGTGCATGTGTGTGGATTTATGTGTGGTGTGCGTGCGTGTGTGTGGATTTATGGGGGGGGTGCGTGCGTGT